GAGTAAGGTGGGGATTAAGATGGGGGAGAAGCACCTTGGATTTGGTTATCCCAGGTCAGTGTTGATGTTGCAAGCTTGTTGTTTGAGGGGAATGAGGACAGAAACTGGGCTTCAGAGAGCTACGGAGAATTACATGTATGGTGGACACACAGGATAAGTCTGAAACCCCTTGTCCAAAAGGTTTATTGAGGCTTATTTTGAAAGGACAAAAGCCTGGAAAAGAGCAAAGAGCTGAATGATAGTGATTATTATTATTAATTTCTAATATAGAGAAGAAATATATACACCATGAAAAATACAAGTAACTGGCAAGAGGTAGATATTTAAGAAATATCAGAAATCAAAGATTTAAAGGCATGTAGCATATTCAATGTGGTTAAAAAACAGCTTTTTTTTTTTTTTTTTTTTTTTTTTTTATTTTCTGTTTTTTTTTTTTTTATTTTCTTTTCTAAAAATTGCATCTCTTTCGAGAAGTCTGGGGAAAGAGAATGTATATGGAATGATATTTTGAGGTAGACAAGAAGGACAGTGAGCCATTTCTGATGGCCTCAATGTTCGCAGGTGAATATATACAGCCAGGGGTCTTTAAAAAGTGAGGAAAATTTCTACAGATATGGGCAGTGTTTTAGTAGATATGGTTTAAGGCCTATTGTGTTTCAGTTATGATTAATTCAATAGTCAAGATTTGCTATTGATATCTTTAAATAATGATTAAATCTTAATTTGATATTTAACATATTCTTCCTGAATTTATTTGAACATTTTCGGTGATTATTATTTCATTATTTTGTTTTACTGTTCTTTTTTCTAATTTTTTCAATTTTGATTCAGTGTGAGTTACAAAAAAAATGATGCCATAGAATTTTTCTTTGAGATATGTTAAAAAATAGATTTTTTAGGATAAAAATCATATTTGGATTAAAATGTTTCAAGCCATCAATTTGTCAAGATTTTTTCCACTTTTTGAAACTTCTCTCCACAGATGGATGATGGATGATAGATTTAATTTTGAAACATTAAAAGCAAATTATCGTGTTAAAGTTAAATGCATAATTAAATTATCAATAATAACTTTAAAAAATAAGGTGGCTTTAAATAGACATTTAGGGAAAGTGAATTTAGTCAGCTGTCAACACCCGGAATAGCCTGTTATGCAAAGCTGAGTTTATTACCTATTTTAGTCAGGGAGGGCAACATTTTGACTGTCTTAGAACGTCCAGAAGGAAGGATTGGTAGGGTGGGATGGGATGGGAGTTATGTATAGGGCTGGAAATCTACAAGTGAATTGTTAAGACAGCTCTTCCATTGTGAGGGTCTGGTTGAAGAGGTGTGCATTTCATGATGTAACAGCCTAGGTAGGTTGACACTAAGAGACAAACATCTTGAAGTGAATCTTAAGTAAACAGTTACCAGTAAGAATTATGGCTGTTGTTCAGTCACTAAGTCGTGTCCGACTCTGTGGCCTCATGGACTGCAACAGGCCAGGCCCCTTTATCTCTCACCATCTCCCAGAGTTTGCCCAGGTTCACGTCCATTGACTCTGTGATGCCATCCAACCATCTCAGCCTCTGTTGCTGTCTTCTCTTTCTGCCTCCAATCTTTCCCGGGGTCAGTGTCTGCATTAACAGTTGATAATTTGCTCACATTTGGGAACTTATGGCTCAGATAAATTACTTTTAAGGAAGTTTCTGAAACAAAATTAACTTTTATATTAATTTGCAGCCTTATCTTCATGGGCAAAAACTTGCAAGCACTAAAAGTAAAACCTTATGGATGGAGATCCTGACAGTCTGGGTGAATGCAGAGGCCTCAGTTCTCAATTTCGATGGCAATTTGAGAACTGAACTATAATATGAACTGCATTATACCTGCTTTGTGTGGACTAGGTATAAAATAAAAGCTTGCCTTTACCTGAAAGAACTTAAACTTAGGATATGGTACTGGTTTTTCCTTTTGCTACAAATTATAGAAAAAGGAATTGTACAGAATGACAAGAATTTGAGGGTGGGTCACACTAAGAACTCATTCATATAGCTCAGGATGAAGAAACTAGACAGTGATTCTATCTTGTCACATCTTTTCATTTAAGGAAAAAAAAAAGCCTGACTGAATTGAATGTGTGTTCAGGATAATTGACTCTTAACTTTCAATGAGCTGAAAAGGAAGAAAGATTATTTAATCAAAGTACTGTATAGACATGTCTAATACAGTGTTTTAAGAATTTTTCAAGTACACCCACCTTGATCTTCTTGTGTTAAGCACTTTACTCATTGATCTGATTCACTCATATTTCATTACTTAATATTAAAGAAAACATGCGGTGACAGTTGTAAAATATATTTCCAGAAAGTAATTTATTAATACAATAATAGGAGTTTCAAAACTGGGACATTCCACTAGTGATTATAAATCAAATAGTTAAGTAGCATAAATATGACACCCAGAAGATCAGACTTTAAAGACCGAAAAAAATTAAAGAGAAGTAATAAAGGCAGATGATAGATGCTTTTACAATAATTCATGCAGAAATCTGTATCAAAGGTTAACCTAGAGAGTTACAGTTGAATTTTAAAAAAAGAAAGGTTTCTCTCACTAATGCAACACTGAAATTCCAATAGTAAAATTTGCAGGAGTGCAGATTCAAAGGCATTTATAAACACAAATCTCTACAGATGTTTTTCAAGTCTAAATAATTATCCAATGAAATTTACTTTAAAAATATTAAGTGTAGTCTTTATCTTCTCAAACAAGCTCCATTTACTTCTACTCTGATTCTAGGGGAAATATTATAAAAATGAATGTCCTTCCCCACCCCAGTATAATCCATCACCTGCTGAGGTTTTCCTCTTACTATGAAAGACAATAATGACATATGTTATTTTGTCTCTTCCATTGAAGAAGAATCACTGTTCATGCTCTCTGGACTTTTATTTCTCCATAAGTCCACAGACCTCATCCCTATTTAGAGTTCTGCACTGTGCTGATTTCCTACATTTTTCTGTTTCCTACATTAATCTACAAGGTACAGTGAAAGGGGGAAACCCTCTTTCTTTTAATTTATTGTGAAAATATTTTAAGGATATTTGTTATGGAATTCTATTTATGCTTACCTATGATGGTATATTCATAATTCACTGGAAGAAATGATTCAGAATTGAGAATATGAAGAGAAATAACAGAGATGTTCATTGAGGTTGGACTATTGATTTAAGCAAGCATTAATTGAGAGCTGCAAGACAGGAGACCAGAGTTGGCTGGCAAGACCAAATAAGTAGCACAGTGACCAGTGTTGCTGTTGAGCCTGTGATCATAACTATGAGATACAAAGGAAAAGGAAGAGAGGGAAAGAATGTAAATATAAATAAATATTTATGTGTGTAAAACCTGTTATTTGTTTTACATCACTAGAAAGGTCAGCAAGTAAAATTCATAATGAAAAGGACCTAAAATTTTTGTAGATGATGAAATTCAGGCGATAGAAGATCTTATTTTAAAGATCTCATAGATTTATCTTTCAGTACATGTAAGTACAATTCAGATGGTAACTTGGAAATCATTGTCTCTTCTTCTTTATTAAAACACTTTGTCTTTTTCTGTGGCCCATGTCTTTCCAGGTCTTTCCCTTTCTGTGTCTTTCCAACATGTCCCTGTCCCCATTTGGTTGAAGTCAAAAAGAATCATTGACCTCTGTGTCATCCTTGACTCTAGTAGGAGAGTCATATTGGGCTCTTGATCTTCTGAATGAAATGCTGAAGAAAAACAAACTTTATTTTTGCTAGTATTAATTGCTTCTCATCATTACTTCTAGGTGTTACTATTTATAATATTGAAATAACTAGAGAACAGTCAGAAAACCTTGCTCTGTCAAAATGTCAGGCATTTGCACATAATCTTGACAATCCAACATGTAGTATTTATTTACCACCAGTATGTGGATGATGACCATTGGGTTATATAAGTTATATCTACCTTATATAACTTCACTTACTGTGAATCATAGGTCCAATCCCTCTCAATATTGCCTTTTTTTCCAATGTGCATAGGGTTAGGGAAGTGTAATACCATGGAGCAGGTTAGAACTGAGTAAAACTGAAAAGGAAGTTATGCTTATACAGAAAAAAAGACACTCAAGACTACTTTTATTTGGGTATCTTTCCTTTTATCTAATTACATATATATTTATATATTATATATATTATTATATCTTTTATTTGGATATAGATATCTTTCTTTTCTTAACTTCCAAGTACTCTTTCTGGCAATTTTTCTCAAGTTGATATTTTCAGGTGTAGAGTTCTTAAAATGATTTAATTTCCTGGTTAATGTGGCTGAATTAAACTCAAAAATATATAAAATTAGCAGTTCTCCAAACTAAATGCAGTTATCTGAATTGAGGACATCATTCTCATTAAAGTTGACAAAGTGGATACAATGGTTGGCATTGTACCAGTCTCAGAAATTTTGACCTTTGATCAGACAATCCAGGCAAAATATCAGAGGCACAATTCGAAACCCAAGGAAAAAAGAGGTTGAATAGAAATTGAGTGGTGGCAGTACTGGATACATGAAAAAGTTTGCATGAATGTGGTTCATAATGACAGTCTCAGAAATGTGTCTAGTTATGTTTCAGGAGCAGCCTTGTTATAAGTTTAACTACATCACTAATCGGTAACAGCTTTAGAAATGGGAGGTGCTTCTCTTTGTCTCTTCTTTCTAAGCTCAGAATGGGCAGCAGGTTGCCCACATTTTAATTATTTTTCATTTGTTGAACCAAGAATCTCAGTGAGCCTGTTTTCTTTGCACAATAGGCCATAGGCTAGACAGGCTTCCTGATCACTGAAAAGGATTAATATGAGCCAAGTGTAGAGATCTGCTCAGGTTATTAAAGGCTAACAGTCCTTGTTCCAATGAGCCTGTTTATTATGCACATTATCTCCTCTATAGCCATTATATTACCTAGTCAATGTGTTTGTCAATTGTTCATATCTTTGTTGTTGCAGATACAGATGTGGTGTATAAAAGCGAGAATGGACATGTCATTAAACTGAATATAGAAACAAATACTACCACATTATTATTGGAAAACACTACTTTTGTAAGTAATGAATAATTAATTACTTTAATCATTTCAGTGTTGTTTTGAATGCCCTCAGAATATACATAATGGTCTTTTGTTTTAGCTTCAGTACTTGCAAAACTTTTCAGGTGACAAGTTAGGGCTAGTATATTATGTAGAATCATTAGATCTATTGATCGGAAACACCCATGTGACCATCTGCTTTGTTTCCTCACCATTGATCCTTTCTAGTAAATGAATAAATATTTCTAAGAATATTATTTTTTGAATGAATATTTATTCCAGTGTTTTCTATGTCAGTTTAAACAGAAAAAGGCCAATTTTTAAAAAAAATTAATATAACCAAGATCATCATAACTTTTTCTCTCCCTTTACTTCTCATTCTTCCTGATTTGCTTTTGTGATTTTCCAAATCAAGTAGAAGACAGGCTTTGTAAAACTGGTCTTTTGTTGAGGTTGATGTGTTTTACCTCTATAATTTTGCATTCTGTCAATATCATTCCTCTTCTCCTGAATCATTGTTTGGCCTAGCAATTACCAAATAACTAAATGTGTTTTATTCTTATAAATGTATATGAACTTTGGGGTAAATTAAGACCTCTCATGTTTAGATTTGCATGGAAACCCACCCTAGTATTCTTACCTGAAGAATCCCCGTGGACAGAGGAGTCTGCAGGCTATAGTCCACGGGGTTGCAAAGAGTCGGACATAACATGACTGAGTGACTAAGCACACAGTCTTAAGGTTAGATTTAGCTGTGATTACCTAATGAGTAAGTGATAGTTAATTAACCGTTTCAAATGTTCAAAATCTAGCTATCAAGCACCAATGAAAAATAGTATACAGTTATTTGCTTACTGTTTTAGATAACCAAAGGTTCAATGTATTTCCTATTAGATGTGTTAATATGGTATAGACATAGTACAAGGCCTCAGAAGACCTTCTGTACAAGTTAAAGGAATAAGCAAATTATCACATACTTTTTGTATTTATTCCTACTGGTACATTTGCAATAAACATTTGTTCTTCATGTTTATAACAGAGTGGCCAGGTGGAAGAGATGAACTAAAAATTTTGTTGTCTGGTGTTTTTATTTAATAAGAGAAAAGTGGTTGTTGAAATCATGAAGTGATTACATATGTATAATATCTGTTAGACTAAATTAAGCCAAACAGCTCATGTACTTTAGCAATTAGGTTACTAACTAAATAACAACGGTGTTTCTTTTTTTAAATGAATTAGTTATTTCACAGACATTAGAAGAACAGGTACTCTGAATGCAATATGTAATAGTATTAATACTTGTGGAATACCAAGGAAATATGAAGCATATTGCTTACTTTCTAAAATATAGATTTCCTTGAGGAAGATAATGCTAACCTTCCTGAAAAAGCTTAATAAACCGCATAGAACAGTATTTATTATTTATTTTTCCATTTTTGATCAAGTAATATATTTATTTATTAATTTTGGCTGTGCTGGGTCCTTGTTACTGCTCACCATTTTTCCCTAGTTGCAGTGAGCAGAGGCTACTCTCTGTTTTAGGGTATGAGCTTCCCATTGTGGCGGCTTCTCTTCTACCAGATCATGGGCTCCAGGGCTCAGGGCTTTAGTAGCAGCAGCGCTCAGGCTCCAGCGCCTGGCCTTAGTGCTTGTGGTTGATACTTGAACTTAGTTTCTCTGTGGCCTGTGGGATCTTCCCAAATGTGGGCTCAAATCCGTGTCCCCTGCATTAGCAGGTGGATTCTTAACCACTGGACCACCAGGAAAGTCTCCATTATTTCTTATTTGGGTGGTCCTCTGGGATATTAGAGAAGAGGCTAGGGAATCACCGAGAGATGTTTTAATCAATGGGAAAGAAGGCATCCGTAGGAGATAGGTCAGGCAGTAGAAAGCAGAAATTGGTAATGATGGCTGCTAATGATTTGCTGATTAAAGTCAATGCAAGTTAATTTCAATAAGACTAGTTTGGAAAACAAACTTAAATGCATTTTGTATTTTGTTTCCTTTATTATAAAGTAATATTTTTCATGCAGATGGGTATAGGCCTTTAGTGGTCAAGCATTTAAGTTAAGAATAGACTCTTAATACCTGAATATCTGGTGTGTGATTGTCCCATATTGGTCATCCCCGTACACAGGTTAATGAGGTCTTCTAGGTAGAAAGGTAGGTAGTTTAGTCACTCATTCATGTCAGACTCTTGCAACTCCGTAGACTGTATCCCAGCAGGTTCCTCTGTCCATGGGATTTCCCAGGCAAGAATACTGACGTGGGTTGCCATTTCCTTCTCCAAACAAGGTCTTCTACTGGTTGCTAATTATCTTTTTTCCCCCCAGCTTTATTAGTCTCTTTGGTTCTTCAAAAAAGAAACAAAACAAACATTTTTGGTTATTGTTCCCTTTTGCTGTTGGTACTTCATACCAATCCCATCTCATCGTGGTTTTCTCCATGCACTGATTAATAACATTTTATCTTTATGCTTGTATGTTTAATCTTTTAAAAATCCTTTTGAGGTCTTTTTCTACTCTTCTCTATGTTGGTTATGACTTTTAATTACCACTAAGTAATATTTAACAAATATCCGAATTTACTGATCTTCTAAGATTCATAGGATCCCTAAAGACATTTATCTCACAGCACAGATAATTAAGCAATTTATAAATCCTGGAGGTGTCAGAATTCTACAGAGGGTGAGGATAAAGATTGGAATGTGGTTTACACTTGCATCTAGTTAACTTAGATCTGCAAACAAAAAGCACAAATTACCAAGATTCCAGATAAATTCAAAGGTGCTTATTTAATCATTTCCTCCCCCTAACTCCAAGATAGCATTATTAAAAACACTTGTGTTTTAAAGTGCATACCAGGCTAAGTTCTAGATACATTTTCTCTCTCAGACTATTCTCTTGGGAAAAAAATCTATCAAAGCATAAAAATTTTATTTGTACTGCAGTTTCTTATTTTTTCATTGAGTGATTAGTGATACTTTAATTATAATTAATTGGATTAGATCTCTATAAAAATCTTTGTAATAAAAGTGTACCAAAGCAATTGAAAAAAAAATTACTTAAAACTGTAAAAGCAGAATAGCCTTCTGCTATTCTTTTGTTTAATAAGATATATATTTAATAAGATATATTTTTCAAAAATGTGAGTCAGTTATTTTAAAAATTAAGATAACACCATATTGTCGGTTCCCTTATGTATATTTTAAATATGAATATGATTATCTGTGTAATCATATAGAGCAGACACTATGATTAACAATAATATTGACCATGACTGTCAAAATAAAACAAAAGCAAATAATTTTCATGAAATAATTGTCTTAAGGCATTCTTTTGCTTTGAAGATAGGTGGATTTGTAATGAAAGAAGAAATTAAAGGGTATATAGCTTTTTGAAAAGGAGTTATGTGAAAGAAGTGATTTAGTCCCCAAACTGCTCTTAATCATTTCTAAGTGTTTGGAAGTGTTATCTCATAAACCCAGAACTATTTCAAACAATGCTAATTCACAGTGTCATAATTATGAAAATGTTTCATACTTATGAAAGCTGTATTCTTTCTATTGTTAATAATGTGAATATTGCCAGTGGTCTTGGCAGAAAACACCAGTATTCATAAATAGTCCTATCAAGTTTTTGTTTGACATTAGAAAGGAATTGGAAACATGATTCCAAACCATATGCTTAAACATTATTAATATTTCTTTTTTTAAAGAGAGAGCTTATGTACTAGTATTAGAAGAGACACGGAATATCTGTAAGATAGCTATAAGCTTTTAAAAATATGCTATTAAAATAGCCAAAAGCAGAGAGGGGACATGTATTTTAATGATTCCAAGGAATGTTACCTGCACATGTTTTGGTCCAACCTCAGCCTGCAGCAGCTTGAAGCAGGATTTGCTTTCCTGGCCAGAGATTGAAGTCTGACTGTGGCAGTGAGCATCCTGAATCCTAGCCACTAGACTACCAGGGACAGTGATCATTGACAAGGCCCGGGCCCACTGCTGTGTAGAACTGAATTTTCACATAGAAATGGAAAGCAGTAAAACAAGTAAAGTGTGTATTAGAGGAAAAGAGTATATATGGATAGACACAGGTGGAGGCTCAGAGAGAGTCACACCCTTGTGGTAGTTTGAATCACTTCAGTTCAGTTCAGTTCAGTCACTCAGTCATGTCTGCTCTGCTATCCCATGGAAAGCAGCAAGCCAGGCTTCTGGAGCTTATTCAAACTCATATCCATCGCATCAGCGATGCCATCCAACCACCTCATCCTCTGTCGTCCCCTTCTCCTCCCACCTTCAACCTTTCCCAACATTTGCATCTTCTCAAATGAGTCAGTTCTTTGCAACAGGTGGCCAAAGTATTGGAGTTTCAGCTTCAGCATCAGTCCTTCCAATGAACACCCAGGACTGATCTCCTTTAGGATGGACTGGCTGGATCTCCTTAGAGTCCAAGGGACTCTCAAGAGTCTTCTCCAACACCACAGTTCAAAAGCATCAATTCTTTGGTACTCAGCTTTCTTTATAGTCCAACTCTCACATCCATACATGACTACTGGAAAAATCATAGCTTTGACTAGACAGATCTTTGTTGGCAAAGTAATGTCTCTGCTTTTTAATATGCTGTCTTGGTTTGTCATAGCTTTTCTTCTAAGGAGCAAGCATCTTTTAATTTCAAGGCTGCAGTTACTATCCACAGTGATTTTGGAACCCAAAAAAATAAAGTCTGTCTCTTTTTCCATTGTTTCCTCATCTATTTGCCATGAAGTGATTGGATTGGATGTCATGATCTTAGTTTTGTGAATGTTGAGTTTTAAGCCAACTTCCTCACTCTCCTCTTTCACGTTCATCAAGAGGCTCTCTAGTTCTTCTTTGCTTTCTGCCATAAGGGTGGTGTCATCTGCATATCTGAGGTCATTGATATTTCTCTCAGTAATCTTGATTCCAGCTTGTGGTTCATCCAGCCCAGCATTTCTCATGATGTACTCTGCTTATAAATTAAAAAAGCAGGGAG